GCCTTTTTGCCGGGGCGGACGGGGGAGGGGCGTGCCCTGGCGCCGGGGTGGGGCCCCGCGGTTCCCCGGGGGCAGACCGGAAAAGCCTTGCCCGAAGGCTGGCGACGGCGCGAGGCTCGGGCCTCCCCCTGCGGGACTGGGGCTGGCGCGCCCCTGACTCTGGCCGCGGGGTCTTCATGATGACAGCAGCCCCTGTCGGGAACAGCACGCACCCGAGTATGAAACGCTTCCACGTGGGTTTCCACGGGGTCCTCACACGGGAGCTCCTGGAAGGAGGCCAGGGAATGGACTGTTGTCCCATTTTGCAGACAGAAAACCAAGGCCCAGAATGGGGAGATGCGCGTGGGGACGCCCAGCGAGGTGGTGGCGGTGGGTGACAGGTCTCGCTCCTCCAAGTGCAGCCCCCTTTCCATCCTGCCACTCCGCCGCACCTGTCAGAGGAAAGGGCGGAGCTAAGGGATTGGTGAGGCCAATGACGGGCAATTCTTTATTTCCCGCCCCCCCCTCCTTTCCTTCTGTTCCCTCTTTCTGTACCATCCAGGTCAGAACTAAGAAGTATTCAGAAGCCAAGTCATGGATCCACCTGCACGTAAAGAAAAGTCCAAAGTTAAAGAACCTGTCAGCAGAGTTGAGAAGGCCAAGCAGAAATCAGCCCAGCAGGAGCTGAAGCAAAGACAGAGAGCAGAGGTGAGGTTGAGGAGGGGGCCTGCAGACCTGTCATCTGCTGGAGATGACGCAGAAGAGAGAATGGGGAGCCCGCCTGTCTGCAGGCAAAACAGGCGTCCTCCAGGTTTAGAGAGAGGATCGTGGAGGGCCAGAACGGTGCAGTGCCAGCCCATAGTCGCATGCCAAGTTAGTGTAGGGTCTCCAGGTGACTCCTGGGGCAGAGCGTTTGTGCTAGGACCCGAGGGAAGGGAGAAAGAAAAGGGACATGTGAGGGCGGGGTCAGTGAGAGAGAGCACGTGTCAGGCACCCCAGCACAGACGTTCTGCACCCACCGATGTGTCCTTTGGTCCGTCAACACTTACCATCAGTTTGTGAATAAAAAGTTGAAACTATCGCCCATAACCACCTGAGCCACACCGGCCAGGCCGGTATTACGTTTTTCTAGAATTATTTGTCTTGTTGTTTGTGACCATTGTCGTCACTGTGGAATTCCGTTTTCCTTAAAGATTAGAGGATTTTATCACAATAAAAATGTTTTTATGAAAAAAGGTTATAGGATCATCCAAGCTTACTATTGATTCTAGTCATTTTCGATCATTTTACTTTCTAGGAATTTATTTCATTTACCTTTCCAAACTTATTGACACCAAGTTCATAATGTTTGCTGTAATCTCTATTACATCAGTATTTATGTGGTGTGTGGTTTTTTTAATTCTAATAGTATTGTTTGTGCCTACTCCCTTTTTATCTTGATCAGTCATGTTGGAGGTTTGCTTTAGCATTTTCAGAGAACCACCTTTTGGTGATCCTCTCTATTGTACATTGGGCTGCTTTTCCATTAATTCTGCTATTATCTTCTATGTGTCTCGCTTCTCAATTTCTTTATTTGCCCCTTTCTTGTCCTTTTAATTAATCAAGAGTTATTTTCCCTAAACACAAACATTCCCTTCATTTATATTTGTTCTACAAATTGGGAAGTTATATGATGTGTCTGTTCTGTAGTGGACAGGTTGAGACTACAAGGATAAACAAAGATGAGGACTAAGGTAGAGCCCCTGCTCTTCACCTTAGAATGTCTGTTGCGGTTTTTGTTCCAGCCCACTGTCTGCCCTGGGTCCATTCTCACTGATGTAATAGATGCCTCCTATGTGGCCTGTCATCTCTCCTCCCCCCCACTCCATCCCTCACATGGTCTCCAGTTATTTTTCCCAAAAGCCCAGATACAATCAGGTTGCTCCCCTGCACACCTATCTTTGGTGGCTCTCCAGAGTCGGCCAGATAAAGTCCAGGTTCCTTGGCATGGCATTTAAGTCCCTGACATACTCTTCTTGCTTTCTCCAGTTCCCCAACCCTCCTCTATAATATCCTTCATATTAGCATACTTGAAGTTTCCAGAACTAATCCTGTACTTTTCCATTATATTTATTTAATCATAATAACCCCCCGTCCCCATCACCTATCAAGTCTCTTCCCCAAACTCTATCTGTTCAAATCCTACAGATCCTTTAAAGGCCAGATTAAGTCACCTGTTTCACTGCTTTCCTGATTCCCCGAATGGAATGAATATCTGCTTCTCCTGTTCCCTTACTGGTGCAGTTCCGGCACTTTCAAGTGGCACCGCCTGTTGTGTCTGAAGATAGGTTGAGCAGCTGCCTCCATTGCTAACACATCTTTTTCTCCCCTTAGATTTATGCCCTTAACAGAGTCATGACCGAACTGGAGCAGCAGCAGTTTGATGAGTTCTGTAAACAGATGCAGCCTCCTGGAGAGTGAGCCACCCGTGTTCAAACCAGAGGGGACCCCTGAGGCTTTGTCTGTGAGCTCGGTACCAGTTTTAAGCTGAGGTGGCCCGTGTGGAGCCTGACAGAACTAGACAAGAAGGCATTTGTGTTATTCCTAAAACTGGATAAATCTGAACTTCCTATATGTAACTTCTGCTTCACTGGTTCCTCCAATTTGAATTGGCCCAATGCTTGCTGAAGAAACTTGTTTTATTCTCCTAAGATAATACTCTTATTTTTTAAACCTTTTTCTATTGTTTGAGAAAAATCAGTGTTTCTTGTGAAACTGTAACTCTCCAAAAATACTAATAAAATGTGCATTTGCTCATACTTTAGTTGGGGGTGCCTAGCCGTAAGAAATGGATCAATGTTATAGGAGAGGAAAAGTGAGGTGAGCAGAGGGAACCCTTGCTCCTTCAGGAGGGGAGTGGTAGAGAGCGGGAGAAAGAATGCGGCTGCTTCCAGTTCTCATTCTTCCTGGGGCTGAAACTCTGCAGTCCCCTGATCTTCCGTTTGTAGCCACACAGGGTAAATCTGTGCCCCTGTACTCCCCGATGAGCTGCTACTCAGGGTCAGAGCTGGAAGTCAGGGTCCTCTCCTTGCAAGTGTGGACAGCTAGCAGCAGGCCTGCACCAGCAGGAGAGGGGGGCAGGCATTGCTTTTTCATTTGGCCGTGACTTCACCAGGCCTAGAAACGGATTTAGGATGGGGATATTCAGGCTGGAATGTCGGAGCTCATGGATGTTTGTAAGATTCATACTACATTATACTTACATTGTATATAGCTCTCTAGAATGTGCAACTAAATCAATTCATCTCCAAAGTAAACCTTTTTGAGTGCCAGGTATTGGCAGACAGCAGAAATCCAAAAGCATGTTTATGAAGGAAGTTATAATATAGTGAGACACAGACATAGTCATCTAATTCTGAAAAAGCATGTATGATAGAGGGATGAATAGAGAGCAGTGGGGAGGGAGAGGGACTGTGTTCCTGTAGAGCCAAATCAGAGCAATGTGGACTTCTCTGGATTTTTATTTTTAAATCCTCAATTCAGTTTGAAAACATATTTGCCATATACATTGTTCTGCAAACTTCAAGAAGTTAGTCTTGAGGTAAAAAGTGCTCTGGTGCCCAGCTGAGGAAAAGGTGGACAGCCAGCAATCCTTTGTATATCATCTGGAGGTAAAAGTCGAGAGAGTGCTGGGGTTTGCTGCTTTTAGCAGACCTATGTTCTTTTTTGAGGTGTAACTTTAGGGTTCCATAGATATTGTTTATTTCTATTCACTTTGGATTTTAGAATATGAATGGCATTTTGAATATCTAGAGTTTAGTACTTTAGACCTTAGGAAAAAAGCATATAATGAGGGCCTAGAATCCAAATGATCCTTCAAGCTTCCAATATGACTAATCTCTAAATGAAGCAAAAGGCAGAAGCTTTGTTGAAATAATTACAGAATTTCAAATTGGGCAACCTGATTGTCCTATGACTAGCTCTGCTTTATGGAGCCAGAGTATGTAAATTCATTGCAGCATTATTTACAACTAGAGGCCCGGTGCACAAAAATTTGTGCACTGGCGGGGGAGGTCCCCTCAGCCCAGCCTGCCCCCTCTCACAGTCCGAGAGCCCTCAGGGGATATCCTACTGACGGCTTAGGGGGGAGCGGGCCTAAGCTGCAGTCTGGCCTCCCTCTGTGGGAGGCCACCAGGCTGATCAGGGGAAGGTGCCGCCTCCATCACCCTGCTGCTGCTGCCACTGCCACTGCCACTGCTGGCCACTGCAGCTTCCAGCCCTCGGCCATTGCAGTCGCCAAGGTGTTTTCATCAACATGGACTCCAGTCCCTTCACCACAAAAAAATGACAACTTTCTTTAGGCATTTTCAAGATGTCTCTTTCATAGGATGTGACATTTCTTTCTTTCTTTTTTATCCTCCCTGAGGATATTTTCCCATTGATTTTAGAGAGCATGGAAGAGAGAGGGAAAGACAAAGAGAAACATCAATGTGAGAGGGACACATTGATTAGTTGCTTCCTGCATGAGCCCTGACTTGGACCCGTGGCGCAGCAGCGCGGGAGCTGCTAATCAGGCCCTGCCTCTCTCTCCCGGCCCTCACAGCAGCCGCAGCAGCTGCTGATCAGACCCTCCCCTGGGGCAGGCGCACGGAGGCCCTCGTCGTGGCCCCACCCCCGACACTGCAAGTCCCCGCCCACCCATGCCTGCTGCATAGGCAGCCTGCTGATCAGTCATTACTATGACGGCATCTCCTACAATTTGCATATTCCTCTATTATTAGTATAGATAGCCAAGATTTGGAAGCAACCTAAGTGTCCATTGATAGATGATTGGATAAAGAAGAGGTGGTACATATATGCAATGGAATATTACTCAGTTATCAACAATGAAATCTTACCATTTTCGACAACATGGATAGACCTAGATGGTATGTTTAAAATAAGTCAGACATAGAAAGACAAACACCATATGATTTCACTTATATGTGGAATCTAAAAAAAAATAAAAATAGCCGAAGCCAGTTTGGCTCAGTGTATAGAGCGTCGGCCTGCAGACTGGGGGGTCCCGGGTTGGATTCCGGTCAAGGGCGTGTGCCTTGGTTGCGGGCATATCCCCAGTGGGAGATGTGCGGGAGGCAGCTGATCGATGTTTCTCTCTCATCGATGTTTCTGGCTCTCTGTCTCTCTCCCTTCCTCTCTGTAAAAAATCAATAAAATACAAAAAAAATAAAAATAAAAGAACAAACAAAACAGAAACAAACTCATAGATATAGAGATGGTTGTCAGATGGCAGGGAGGTGTGGGCTGGGTAAAAAAGGTGAAGGGATTAAGATGTGCAAATTGGTATTTACAAAATAGTCATGGGATATAAAGTAGAGCATAGGGAATAGAGTCAATAATGTTGTAACAACTATGTATGCTGCCAGGTAGGTAATAGACTAGACTTATCTAGTAGACTAGACTTTGTAAGCTATGTAAATGTCTAATCACTGGGTTGTACCCCTGAAACTAATATAATATTGAATGTCAACTGTAAGTGAAAAAAAAAATTAAAAGAAATGCTATGTGGCTGGTGTGGCTCAATTGGTTGAGCATCGTCCCATGAACCAGGAGGTCATGGTTCAATTCCCAGTCAGGGCACATGCCCAGGTTGTGGACTTAATTCTCAATAAGGGGCGTCAAGAGACAGCCAATCAATGTTTCTCCCTTCCACTCTAGGAAATCAATAAAAACATATAAAAAAAGAGAGAGAGAAAGAAAGAAAGAAACACAGAGCCCTAGTCAGTTTGGCTCACTGGATAGAGTGTTGGCCTACAGACTGAAAGGTCCTAGGTTCAGTTCTAGTCAAAGGCTTGTACTTCAGTTGCAGGCTCTATCCCAGGCCTTTCTTTCTCTTTGCCTCTCTCCCTCCCTTCCACTCTCTCTAAAAATCAATAGAAAAATATCCTCAGGTGAGGATTAACAAAACAAAACCAAAAAAAAAAAATAAGAAATACCTTAGTGAACTGAGTCCCACCCCATTACTGGATCAATACCAATTCTGATGAGTTTCCTTTCCAAGGGATTAATCTTAGTGCAAAAGGTCACACAACTGGTTATAGAGCTGGAATGCAAACCTGGCCCAAAGTGAGCTTGGAAAAAACTCTGTTCTATCTGACATGAACAACTGTTGTCCTGAAGGGGTTCAGATCCCTGAATAAAGGGGAAGAAGGGAAGCCTGCTACTATGGGTTGTTCTGGTTTGAGACACCATGTATCTACCACAAGCACAACACAGGAACAAGGAAAGATTTAGTGAGGATAAGGCAAGTCTTGGCCCAACAGGCTGGCACAAACCACACAGAAGCCAGAGGAGTGGGAAGAGCTGTTTAGTTTCTTAGATTCCCTTCTTGCCTAAGACACTCTGTCTTGCCCCACAGAACATCTGGAAAGAAGATGTAGGAGAGAGACCACATCAGGCAGTAAAAAGCAATTATTGAGAATGGAGAAAAAAACAGTATGATGACACCTGGAAGGAGAAAGAAATACAACACTCAGTTTTTATGAAGCTTTCTTACATGTATTTCCCACCCTCTCCTCTCTCATCCCCACTCACCTCCAAGATAAACTATTTTTTTCCAATTCTCAGATTCTAGGATTTCATCATGTGGGTAGTAGCTCTGGTCCATCATGAATAGAATCATAAGTGAGGCCATGCAGGAGAGAATGAACCTGTTGCCTTTGGTCAGAAGGGAGGTGGAGGCCAGAACACAGGAAGCATAGGGGCAGGGTAGACCCTTGTATGTGAAGGAAAGGCCGCCTGGGGAAAGAAAAGGTGGGGATTAGCTGTTTCCTGCTGATCTCAAGGTATCTGCATGAAGCAAGCCCCTGTCCCTTTGGGTTTTCCCTACCCCTCACTCCAAACCCCCTTAATCTCAGGACAGTAGCATTTAGCTATTCATGGAGATGGTGCATGGGCTTTGCATTGGATCCCCAAGGCACTAGTAAAGCAGAAGGCTAGGACCAGGGGTGTGCCTTGGCCCTAGGAAGCCTCTGTAGAAGGGCCCTAGATCTAGGCTGCATCTGCACTCCCTTGCGTTGGAATCTTAGGCAATTGCCTTCGCCAGAGCTCCGTATCTCCATCTGTTTTAGGAAACTGGAGTAAGGTCTAGAGTCTAAATCCATGTGCTTCATCCAAAGGTCACATAGTGAGAAAAAGGCATAGCTGGCCCAAGAATGAGGGCCCTAACCTCCCCTCCTGCTCCCCCCCCCCCTCCTCAGACCAGGGCTCTTCCAGTGCTGCCTCCAGCCTCCAATGGGGCTGGGGCACAGCAGAAGGAAGGAAGAGGGACTTTATAAAAGGAAGGAGAGGAATCAGTTACTGCACTCAACAGCTCCTCCCCCTCCATGGTTCCCAAGCTCAGACACAAGGCTGGGTTTCACTCACTAGTTGAATAAAAACACAGGCGGAAAGAAGCAGCTAACACATAGATGATGGCCAGGAACCCATTCAGAGGCCCATCCACGCCTAGGAGCAGGGCTGTGGCCAGGCCAAAGGTGGTGAAGACAGCAAAGTCATTCAGCTCAGCTCCTGCTCCAGAATGCCAAGGTTAGAACTTACACTTATACATCGTGTACATTAGTCCCCTCTGGTGGGGGTGCTAGGATGGTGACAAGCACAGTCTGAGGTCCCAGAAGGTAACATCTATTCCCCTGGGTGTCTATAGATCAAAGACTGGTCTTATTCTGGCTCCACCTTAGAATGACCACGTGGCCTTAGGCAAGTCTTTCCTGGCCCAGGTCTTAGTTCCACCCTTTAACATGCAAGGATTGGACTACAACTGGATACAAATTAAGAAAATATGGAACCATTTTTTCAAGCAAAATCTGACACAAAAATATTTTTTTGATCAACTGCTCTGCTTGGAGTAATTTTTCATTTCCCCTCTGTCCCACCATCACAACCACCATTCCCACTCCCAGTTCTTGGATTGGTTCTGAACAGGAATTCAGGGAAGACAAGAAAACTGAAAGCCAGGCTAAGGATAACCAGAGATCAGTAAGCGAGCCAGCAAAGGAGCTAGATCTAGGCTGAGGGGCTCCAGCTCCAACTCTAGGGTTGCTTCTGCTATACTCAAGGGATGTGAACAGGACTGGTGACTGATAAAGGCCTGTGAGTGTCATACGATGAAGGAGCTGACCTGACATGGGCGCTCCTGGGGTCAGAGTTTAGGGGTCTGAGGCCTGGACTCACCTGATTTGGAGCAGATATTGAGATGTCTGGTGATTGTCCTGACTGCCATGTCCATTAGGAAGCCGATCAGAAGCATCCAGGAAGCACAGCTGGATTTCCTAGTGTGGGCCCAAACGGGACAGCTTTCATAGACTCCACTGGACAACCATTTCACACACCTCCAGTACACTAATACACTTCCTACATTTGCACACATACACCCCTGCAAGTTTCCCACATTCACATCCTTTCTGATATACACAGCTTTATATGCCATGCACATGTGCATGCACACACACACACACACACACACACACACACACTTACATTCCTTCTATTCTCTCAACCCACAATCTTGAAATGGTGCCCAAACCTCCTAGGTCCGTGGTCGGCAAACGGCGGCTCGCAAGCCACATGCGGCTTTTTGGCCCCTTGAGTGTGGCTCTTCCTAAGCCTTAGGTGTACCCTAATTAAGTTACTAACAATGTACCTACCTATATAGTTTAAGTTTAAAAAATTTGGCTCTCAAAAGAAATTTCAATTGTTGTACTGTTGATATTTGGCTCTGTTGACTAATGAGTTTGCCGACCACTGTCCTAGGTAATCACTAAGGTCGCTTCCAACTCTAAGTTTCAGGTATATTCAATGGCCCAAGGGTCTTAGGTTCTAGCCCATCCTCTGCAACTACGTATATTACTGTGAATTCTCAGATAAATCACTTCCCTCTTTCTCTAGGCCTTTTTGTTCCTCCATCTGTAAAATGAGGGGTTTGTATCAAATGATTTCTTTAACACATATAATAGTAGGCCTATTCGTATTATCTATTTCTCCTACTGTGAGTTTTGATAGTTTAGATCTTTTAAGGAATTGGTCCATTTCATCTAGGATATCAAATTTGTGGGTACAGAGTTCATAATATTCTTTTATTATACTTTTAATGTTCATGAGATCAGTAGTGATGGCTCCTCTCTCATTTCTGATATTGGTAATTTGTGCCTTCTCTTTTTTTCTTGGTTAGCCATGTGCAAATGTTTCATTGATTTTCCCTATTAATTACTTGTTTTCAATTTCATTGAGTTCTGCTCTAATTTTTATTATTTACTTCCTTCTCTTACTTTAGATTTGATTTGCTCATCTTTTTCTAGTTTCCTACAGTGGAAGCTCAGGTTATTGATTTTAGATCTTCCTTCTTTTCAATTTTTCTAAAACTGTTTTTAGAGAAATGTTAGGTTTATAACAAAATTAAAAGGAAAGTGCAGAGTTTTCCCATATTTCTCCACCTCTCACATATGCATAGTCTCCCCATTATCAACATCACTCACCAGAATGGTATATTCTGTTTCTTGGTACATAACCAAGGATGAACCTACATTGACGCATCATAATCAGCCAAAGTCCATAGTTTACCTTAGGATTCATTCTTGGTGGTGTACATTCTGTGAATTTGGACAAAGGTATAATGACATATACCCAACATTATAATATCATATAAAGTAGTTTCACTCTCCTAAAAATCCTGTGCTCTACTGATTCATGTCTTCCCCAAGCCCCCTATCCTTTCTGGCAACCACTGATCTTTTTATTCTCTCCATATTTTTTTTCCAGACTATGTAGCCTTTCAGATTAGCTACTTTCATTTAATAACATGCATTTAAGTTTCCTCCATGTTTTCTCATGGCTTGATAATTCATATCCTTTTTGCCCTAAATAATATTCCATTGTCTGGATGTACCACAGATTTTTTTTATCCATTCACCAAGTGAAGGACATCTTGGTTGCTTCCATGTTTTGGCAATTATGAATAAAAGACCATAAACATCCAAGTATAGATTTTTGGACATAGTTTTCAATTCATTTGAATAAATACCAAGGAGTGTGATTACTAGGTCATACAGTAAGAGTATGTTAGTGTGTAAGAAACTGCCAACTATCTTCCAAAGTAGCTGCACTATTTAACATTCCCACCAGCAATGAACGAGAATTCCTATTGTTCCACATCCTCACCAGCATTTGCTATTGTCAGTGTTCTGGACTCTGGTTATTGTAATAGGTATGTAGTGGTATTTCACTTGTTTTACTTTATATTTTCCTGATGACATATGATGTTAAGCATCTAATTGGGTTATTTTCCTATTGTTAAGTTTTATAATCCCTTATCCAATTTATCTTTTGCAAATATTTTCTCCCAGTCTGTGGCTTGTCTTCTAATTCTCTTTGCTGCTGCTTCTTCTTTTTAATCCTCACCTGAGGATATGTTTTTATTGATTTTAGAGAGAGGAAGTGAGAGAGAGAAAAAAATCAATATGCGAGAGAAACACCAATTGGTTGCCTCCTGTGCCTCAACAGGGGATCGAACCCACAACCTAGCTATGTGCCCTGACTAGGAATCAAAACTGCAATATTTCGGTGTGCAGGATGATGTTACAACCAACTGAACCACCTAGCCAGGCCTGTCTTCTAATTCTCTTGATGTAGTCTGTTGCAGAGCAGATTTCTCTTCTAGTATATGAATTTAATGCTATAAATTACCGTCTAAGTACTGCTTTTACTGCATCTCACAAACTTTGGTAAGTTATACTTTCATTTTCTTTTAGTTAAAAATATTTTTTAATTTCTCTTGAGCTTCTTTTATTCATATATTATTTAAAACTGTGTTTAACCTTTACGTATTTTGAGATTTTCTAGTTATCTGTTATTGACTTCTAGTTTAAGTCCATGTGGTCTGAGAGCGTATTTTATATAGTTTCTATTCTTTTAAATTTGTTAAGGTGTGTCTCATAGCCCGGAATGTGGTCTATCATGGTGAGCTTGAGAAGAATATGTATTCTGCTGTTGTTGGATGAAGAGTCTATAAATATCAATTGGACCCAGTTGATTGACAGTGCTATCAGTTCAACTATACCTTTACTGATTTTCTGTCTGCTAGCTCTGTCAATTACTGACAGAAGGGTGTAGAAATATCCAACTATGATAGTAGAGTCATCAATTTCTCCTTGCAATTGTATCAGTTTTTATCTAATGTATTTTGATGTTGTAAATGACTCCCAAGAGCTCTTTGAGATCCAACATTTGAGGATTCTATGCTTCTGTCCAGCACATGCTCCTGGACCCCTCTGAAAGCAACCACCACAATCTCTGGCAAACCTGCCCTAGGAGGCCATTCCCAAGTCTGCACTCTGACTGCAATGGTTGGGTGGCCCAGTAGAAGCAAACAGAAAGCCTGACCCCAGACCTCAGCTGTCCCCAAACAACCTCATCATTTCCTTTGTTTAGACCTATACCTATGTGTTTAAAGGAACTGGGCCCATGATAATAACATAAAAAACACACTCCCAGAAGATTAGGCTAAATTAAGAAAATAAAGATTTTCTGCTGCAGGTATGCCTCACTTTATGAGACTCCCAAAACCCAGACTTAGAGAATCATAACATTTTCAAACTGGTAGGGAACTTAAATATCATGAGACACAAATCCAGAAAAGCCATCCACTGATGATTATAGAGATTCAAACAGATTAGGAGGATGTGATTTGCATTATAAAGGATTTATCTATAAAGAGCCAATTTCCAAGGCATTGAAATATGACTCAATTTATAGAAATACCATTTGCTTACAACTTTTTGAGACCCATATGCATGTCTCAGATTTCCAGAGCAGTGTTAATTTTAAATATTCCACCAGATCATGTGTTCTTATTTAAGAATTTAAAATTTTGAATGGTAGTGTACCTACCCAATAATTGTGTAGCAAGCATGCCAAACGCGTGGTCAGCAGCTGGCGGCCGGCCAAGGCATGTGCCTTGCCAGCCAGGAGTTTGACATGCTTGGTAAAGGCTACCAAAGCAGAGCCTCCTGATTTTCTCAAAAAACCATTCTAGACTGCCATATCTGGAAGGAACTATAGAGATCATAGTGTGAGCTCCTTGTTTTAAAGATGGAGAAACTGAGGCTCAGGGATGTGACCCAGCCAAGGTCACATACTAGGTTGATGATAGAACTGAAGCTAGAATCTTGGCGCCTTGACTCCCAACCTGCCACACTTTCTTCTGCCCCCATTGATCTCCATGTCTCAGTGCCTGGCTCTCTAGATTTCCCACTTCTGTCTTCATGCCCATGGCTGAGACCTTGCTTGTAGGGCCCCAGACCTACTTGCTGAGGCTGCAGAAGATGGAGAAGAGCCCCATGATCAAGTTGGCCAGCGATAAGACATTGGCAACATCTTTCCAGGAAATTTCATTCATCTGGAGGTGACTCTGGTCTTTGGTCAGGAAGAAACTGGTGTACTAACCTGTGGCCCAGAGAAGAGGGGCAATGGATTCCCAAGGTCAGAGTCCCAAAAGAGGCTCCTAAGAACCGGGTAGCTCCTGTTCCCCTAGATTTTCTCCCAGAACTTCACCCTCCAAACACTGTTCCACTGGCTGGAACGAGGCAGACAGTAAGTAGATGGAGGAGACACAGGAAGTAAAGACAAAGGAGTTGGAGCTGAGTGTCTTGGGAAAGCCCAAGAGTGAAGCAAGTGAACCAGCACAACCATAGTTCTCATGCCTCTCTGACTACATCCCTTACCCCATAGTACAAACCTCCCTCTAACCATATGTTGACCCTCCCGGCACCCCATGACCCAGGGTACAAAAGTATGGGCCCTTCCCCGCTTCTGAGCGATGAGCCTTTTGTCACTGAGCTCTTTGTCATAGATGAGACTTTTTTTTTGTATTACAAAGCTATTTTCAATACTTTGATGAGCCCCACAGGAATAAAAAGCACTGGAAAGGGGTAACACGCACACCCCAGGAGTGGCCCAGGGGAGAGAGGCTACCTGAGGGGAAGGAAGCACAACAGGGACCCGCTGCAGACCCAGCCTCCTCTGTCCTGCAGGCCACGCTCACGCCCTCAGGACAGGACTGCAACGGAGGTGCCTCAAGGTTCTGGTTCTGACAGGCCCCAACCAGAGCAGCAGGCCCAGCTCCAACAGGGGAAGGAAGAGGTGAGAAACAAACAAAATGAATGTGTATAGCATAGACTATTTCACAAGGCGCTTTCACTGTGTGCTCTCTTCTGATCCTGACAATTTCAGGAGACAGTGCTATCGTTCTCACCATTTAATCCTCACTCATTTTTTTCAATATATTTTTTATTGATTTTGGGGAGGAAGGGAGAGGGAAAGAGAGATAGAAACATGAATGATGAGAGAGAGTCATTGATCAACTGCCTCCTGCACCCACCCCACCCCCCACACTGGGGATGGAGCCTGCAACCCGGGCATATACTCTGACTGGGAATTGAACTGTGAGCCCCTGGTTCATGGGTCGAGGCTCAACCACGTTGGCCAGGCAAATCCTTACTCATTTTAGAGGTGAGGAAGCTGAGACTCTGCCTCCACTCAACATCTCTGTACAGTCCCAGGCCCTCTGGTCTGGACAAGAGCTAAGACAATCATGGTCCTTTCACATAAACCCTGACACCAAGATGTCAGAGGCTGGGAAGGGCTGGACTTGCAGTTTGGGACTGGGAGTTTATCAGGGCAGCACTGTGGGTTCACTGTTCCCACAGGCCACCCTTTCACCAAGGGTGTCAGTGACCACATCACCAAAGCCAATGGGACTCCTCAGACTTTCTCATGCCAGGGCCACTGAAAACCTAAGACTGGAAACTATGTGAGCCAGAATTATAGGAGAAGAGGGGAGGGGGCAAAGGACTGGCTGCACACTCCCTCCCCCTGAACCCCTCCATTCTGGTCTCTCCTGGGCCTCAAGGCTGACCCCAGCAAACCCAGACACCTCTATCACAGCCTAGCCCACTGTTGCCTGGAAGAGCAGCATCCCAGCAACTCCGCCTTTCACTGGCAGTCAGCAGGTGCCAATTATTAGACACACCTCATCTTTACTAGTTCAGTGTTTTTTAAAATTAATGCTCGGTTATCTACTATGTTATTTCTTTCATTCACAAAACACATTCACCTCTGTGGTTTTCATTAGCCCCGTGAGGTCTACCAGGTAAGGATCACTATCCCTACTTGCCAGGTAAGGCAAAGAAGACACAGAGAGGGGAAGAACTTTGCTCAAGGTCACTGACACCCTTTGGAAGTGGCAGACTAAGACTTAAGACTTCTATAAGGTTCCTCTGTATCCTGCTGTCTACCAACCATCAGGACCAAGCATATTCACCGTAAACTCAGACTGAGCTAGGTGCTTGGGGAAACCCTTGGTCTTTGTCTCCATGGAACTCCTAGGCTATCCAGGAAAATAACTCATGCATGCATGTGGAGACTTACTCTGTTCCTGGTGGTACCCCATCTGACAGATGGGGAAATGGAAGTTTCAGGATAGTTAAGCAGCTTATCCCAGTAAATGGTGGAACCAGGATTGAATCAGGTCTCCTCTTTCCCAAGTCAATGCTATTTTTAGCATAATGAACATGTCCCAGGTGTAAAAGAATGTGGACTTGAGAGTGAGGGCTATAGAAATCCAGAGGGAAAAAAAGAAACAATCTATGCACTCAGCAAACATTTAATCGTGAGTAAGATTGGTGCCTGGTGCTTGGGACACAAAGTCTAAGTCCTGGTCTCATTTCTCAAGGAACTCAGTCTAGCAGAAGATTCAACCCTGCACTGAAGTGACCAGGATGCTGAGGCAGCATAGAAGAGGGGAGCAGCAGGTCAGGGGCTTAGAGAAGGTTCCTCAGAGGAGGGGGTCATAAATGAGGCATTACTCCCTAGCTTCCTGGAAGCCATCAGTGGCTCCCCAATGCCCTCAGGATGGCATAGTATTCCAACTCCTTCATTTGGTATACAAGATTTTCATAATGAGGCCATGCTCAACTCTTAGCCTCCTATCTCTATTGCCTGCTAATCCCTTCTCTGGCCCTTCCTCTGGTCTTGGGTTGGGTGGTGGTCCTCTTTAGGAAGCCTGGCACCCCATACCACCCCAAACCTGTCAGGTGCTCCTCCTCTGTACTGCCACAGGTCCCTGTGCACACCATGTCACACTTGGCACTCTGTATTGGCATTGCCTATCTTGTCTTCCTCCTCTACTACAGGAGAAGCAACGTGAGTGCGGACCAAGGTTCCCTGTGCCCACCCTGAGGCCTGGCAATAGAAGCTGTTCCATGAGTGATACATTAACAGAGCACGTCACTCTGGTGCTTCCCTGAGATCCTCTCACTGCACCCAATTACGTCTCTCCCTGCACCAAAGCCCGGTCAGTTTGTCCTCCAAGAAGCCTTCTCAAATGAACTCTCAACAATTCCGCTGCTTCATCACACGTGACATCTACACAATGCTCATGATCTTCCATTTACTCAATTAAAAAAATATATTTGCTGATGCCTGCTCTGTGCAGGCCTGTGTCATCTGGAGGTGGAGAGAACAAGACCCAGGCTGCACCCTCAGGAAGCTCCGAGTCTGGGAGGGGAGGCAGACATGTGTAGGGACAATGAAGGTAGCATGGCAAGTGTTCGGTTGGACAAGGGGATAGATATCCAGTTGCTGCAGGTGCAAAGGGAGAGAGAGACTAAGTCTGGGGGAAGGTTTCACTTGACTGGAGGCAAGTCAGCAGGGATGCCCAGGTGTGACCTTGAACTGCAGCCTGTGGCTAGGCAATGGTGTTTAGTAAGGAGGTGTTTGGGTCAGATAGGGGTTGGAAATGGAGGGTGGTCTGAAGGGAAGAAACTGCAGAAAAGAAAACTAGCCATGAGACTGGTGAGGAGAGTGAGCAAGCAGAACTGCCTGAGGTTTCCCAGGAAAAGAAAGGAATGGCCAAGCTGGTTCCTCCCCCAGGAAAACCCAGGAGCAGCACTGAAGTGAGCAGCTCCAAGTGGAGGGTCCAGCAGGTGTGGGACACAGGACACAGGGTATAGTCACTCTATTTAGAGACACCCTCCCTCCTCCTCCACGCTCCCACCCCACCCCACCCCACCCCTCGGGGCCAGCATCCCTCAACAACAGAAAGCCGGCCTCTCTTGAGCTGGTCCCTCCGAACTGGAGACACCGGAGCCCCCCTCCCCGCTGTTCCCCTCCCGGCTGTTCGGAATTCAGTCCAGGCTCCACTTGCCGAGGACCCGCCCGTGGGAAAAGGCGCTAGAGATGGAGCCGGGCCTGGGTGGCCGCACTTCGGAACCACTCCATCCCCTAGGGACCTGGTCGCTCACAGCACTCGAGGGACACGCGCTGCCGCTCACGCTCACCTGGGAACAGGGCATTCCTAACTGGGGTGGGGCCGCAGTCCTTCCCTGCTTCCTGTGCAGCGGAGTGGGACCAGCCAAGCAAGGGGCAGCGGCACTGGTCCCAAGGCTCTTGGCCCTGGCTCTTAGCTCACAATCCCTGAGACAGGGGAGGGGCAGCCGGGCTTTAGCTGGCGAAAGAGGGACCTCAATTTTCTGGGGAGCCCTAGGTCTTGTAGTGAGCGCGGTGCGGCTCGGAGAGATCTGACGGGAGGGGACTATTTTCGGTCATGGCGGGTGTGGGAAGGCTTGGCAGGTGAAGAGAACAGAATGCATGGTGAATGGGAGGCGGACTGGAAGGGAGTCGGGAAGGTAAGCCCGTAAAGGGATGGAAGCTGGGGTCCTAGTATGTAAGGTCCGTGTGGGCAAGGCTTGCACTGTGCGGTGCACTGGTGTCTTTGTGCCCCTAAGAACGTTTAGGCATACACCAAGTCTCCACCCCCACCCACACCCCCCATATTTGTTGGATAGACAAGCTGAGTAATTTACACCCAGTCCTGAAAATAGTACGATTTTAAATATATATAATCTTTATTGATTCCAGAGAGGAAGGGAGAGGGAGAGAGATATCAATGATGAGAATCATTGATTGGCTGCCTCCTGCACGCCCCCTACTGGGGATCGAGCCCAAGGGTCCAGAGGTTGACGCTCTATCCACTGAACCAAGAGGATAGTGGTGAAGGTGGTCTGACACAGTCAGATTTGGGATGTATTTTATTTTATTTTTTAAATATATTTTATTGATTTTTTACAGAGAGGAAGGGAGAGGGATAGAGAGCTAGAAACATCGATGAGAGAGAAACATCGATCAGCTGCCTCCTGCACATCCACCGGGGATGTGCCCGCAACCCACGCAACCCAGGTACATGCCCTTGACAGGAATCGAACCTGGGACCTTTCAGTCCGCAGGCCAACGCTCTATCCACTGAGCCAAACCGGTTTCGGCAGATTTTGGATGTATTTTAAAGACAGAGCTAAGATGACTTGCTGATTGGTGTGGGAAGAACAAATGAAATCAAGGATGACTTAGGTTTTTGGCCTTGACAACAGTGCGAGACAGATGCTGATGGAAATATGCAGAGAAAACTGGTGATGAAACAGGTTTTTGGAGAGAACTCAAGACTTCCACTTTGGACATGGTTAAGTTTGTAATGATGTCAAATAAGGCTCTTGCATAAACAGTCTGTGTGAAACTTGAGGGAGAGATCAGGGCTGGACCTGCATGTCAGTCAGCAGCATATGGTGGTATTTAAAGTCAAGGGGATGGATTAGAAAGTCAACAGGGCCAAGGGCTTGGCGCAGAGCAGTTAAAAATGTGCCAGGAGCTGAAAAGGTGGAATTGGTGAAGTAGGAGAAAAGCAGATATTGTAATTCCAAATCAAAATGAAGGAAAAAAACCTTTCAAGCAGCGAGTGCACAACTGAATCAAATGCTGCTTAAGACTACAAAGGCCCAATTACTCTTAGGCACTTAGGAGCTCCGTCCTCCCAAGCTCCGACTCCTTAATAAACACTAAACACTATCTTGTGAAGGGGAGGGGTGCTCCATTGCTTATGAGTTGTGTGGCCTTAGGTAAGATCAAGCTGATCTTTGCAGAATGGACTGGCGAGGGGATAGAAGAAAGTTGCCCTGTTGGGGAGACCCATGTAGCAAGGATCTAAGGGCAGACTCTGTGAGTTGAGAGGCTGACCCTCCCAAAATCTGGCCATTGTGCTTTCTCAGATTCTCCAGTCACTCTAGCAAGGCAGAATGAGCAGAGAGGGCAAGTCAAACCTCACCAATAGCGCAAAAATACCAGAATCACACACACTAGCGCAGCCAAGCCAAGTTGTTTATCATCCTCCATTACATAACATTCTTGTTCCCTGATGAATTTATTATTATTATTATTTTAAATATATTTTTATTGATTTCAGAGAAGAAGGGAGAGGAACAAATAGAAACATCAATAATGAGAGAGAATCATCGACCCGCTGCCTCCTGCATGCCCCACATTGGGGATCAAGCCCGTAACGCAGGCATATGTCGTGACTGAGAATCGAACCATGACCTCCTGGTTCATAGGGGACACTCAACCACTGAGCCACACCGGCCGAGCTCCCTGATGAATTTGAAGCTTGACTGCACCAACTGTTAAAATAGCCTAAACCCAATCTTAAACACTAGTTACCAAAAAAATTAAAACCAGTCCACTATGGAAATCCTTGCCAACCTTTTTATGGGAAGAAAAACTCTTCTTTCTCTAATGCTCTGACTTAGGAGAATAGAGGGAGACAAAGGAGAAGGAAAGTACACTAGCCGGTATGCTGAAACTGACTGGGTGGGTATCTGTGACCCAGAGAGGATCCCAAAAAAGACTGAGGTGACTCATTACCATCCCAACTAAAACTAATAATGACAGCATTACAATCACATAGGGTCTCCTTCCAAGAAGTTCATGATTCACTTACACATCCTCATTTCTCCCGCCACCTCCCATCAAGGCAGAGAATGGGGGCAACAAGGAGGTGACAGGTCCTTGCCGTGAGAGCTGTTTGTCAGAGTCCATTTTCAGTGAGTCAGTCCCTGGAAGTTGGGGTCAGGCGTTGGAGGCAGGGCCATTGGCTGGTTTAGCAATTTGTCCACTATGCTGATTTTAGCATCTTGCTTCTCTATGTCCTCATAGGGAGTCCAGGACAAGTCATGCTGTAGCTTGTAGGCACCAATGAAGTCATGTGGACAACTCGTTCCCCATTCCTAGAGAAGGCAAAGGAGTCAGTTCTGATTAGGATAAGATGTAAAGACATTTCCTAATTATGCCACAAATTTCTCTTTTGGCTTTTCACTTCAGACCAGTCAGAATCATCCTGGAAAAATCTAACATTATACATTATGGATTCCTCCCTTTGCAGACATAATGGCTGTGAAATAACTTAAGCACATGTATGTTTTTCAGAATCATATTGGGGCTCACACCACCTCCCATTTTCTGGGAAACCATTTACCAACCCCTATGCCTACATTTTCACACACATGCCAAGAATTTCTCAAACATTAAGAGTAGACTTTTTGTGCAAAAATAAATGTTCTCACCTTTGGAGAAATAATAGAAAAATACTGCTGACCACTCTCCCGTTGATAAAGGTAGTAAATGTTGCCAGGTTTTTTCACTATATTACAAGCTATGTGGTGCAAGTCAGCATCTCTGCGAGCATCTTCTAATACCTAAGAACCACAGAGAGGTAACAAATTAGGTATAGGAGGTAACAGGCACTCATATTCAGTGATCATCCCAATTAAAATCCCAATTAATATTTATGATCTTGCTTCCTCCCCCATAACAAAAAGTCACTGCTGGGATCAGATGATTCTGCAGAGATAAAAATTAGACTATAATTTTACTGTGCTGTAAAAATTCCTTTAGAAGAAATATATTTCAAAATGTTAAGCATTAGTGGCTTTGAGTGATTTTTGTATTTCTTTCCTACTTTTCTGTAGTAAGTACATTGCTTTTATAACTGAAAACATATTTTCCCATCAAAATGCTTTATCTCACTGAACTTTCTCCTAGTGAAAAAACTTAGATTATACTTAACCTCTTGGACTTACTTTATTTTGCTTAATACCTCTATATTTCTAGAAGGTACTGAAGACAAGCTACATGATCATAAGCAAGTTCAGTCAATCCTATGAACTAAATGAGGGAAATGAAGTCCTGCCTAAAAGCCATGACTTACCTTCCTGGCTTGTTCTTGCAAATGCTGGATTTGATCAGCTATCACTGTTAGCTTGTTGGTGGCATTTGCCCGGACGAATTCATCAGCCTAAAGGTGAGAGAAACTGAACTGTGGGTCGAAAAAGGGTCAGACTTATGATGCTCTTATTTAGATCCCAATTGTGAAGAGTTGCATCAACATCTTCACTTATGCCTAAAATATTTTCCCCAACCTCACCATCCCCCATGAATTCTCATTCACCTCAAAGCCCAGTTCAAATAGCACTGCTAATGAGAAGCCAACCCTGACATGACCCCACACCACAGAATTAAGTGCTCTTTTCTACTTCCCATAGCTTTCTACCCTTTTCACTCTGTTCTAATCACACTGAACTTCTTTGGACCACCAACATACCCTGATCTCTCTTGCTACCAAATATACTGATTATGTATATTTGATTCCATCTAATACATCCCTCCACCCCACTAACCCTGCTTATTCCTTAGGTCTCCATTTATTTTTTCATGTTTAAACATTTCTAAAATCAGGGCTGGGTTTTCAATGAAAATCCAGACATGTATGATATGGCTCTTATCACCTGTTATATAAGAATCTAGCTAAATACAGAGAGTATCTGTTCATCTGATCAATACCTCAACTGAACTTATATTTACATTCATAATTGTTATTTAAAATGTCTATGGTGTAGACCTGAAACAAAGTTATAATGTACACATAAGACTGCCTGTCATGTGCTAGAAAATGTGTGAAAGCAAGGGAAATTGCTTCAAATAAATAAATGTGAAAGTTAGGAGAGATGGTGTGACAAATTAATGTATTGGGAAGGATTATCACTCAGGCATCAGAAATCTGTCAAAAGCTTTCAGCTTATGTTCAAGAAAAGCTGATTAATTTCCAATGGCATACAATTAAGTTAAGAAAAAGAAATTAGGAGGCTAAACTTGAATTTGAACTAAAGAATAATAACAGAATTTGCTAGTTAGTTGAGAGAGCTTAAGGTAAAAGTCAGGTATAAGCCAGTGTTATGAGTGAACAGAAACAATTGAATAAGTTGAGTCAATCATTTATCTGTTCCACAAATATATATTTAGTAACTACCGTGTGTCAAACACCATGCTAAGCACTGGATGCATTGACAAACATGAGAGAGAGGTCCCTACCTTCGTCAAGATTACACCATCTCTCCTAGCTTTAAAATCTAATGCAATTGTCCTTTAGAATATAAAACAAGTTGCATATGTAATTTTAAATTGTCTTGTAGCTGTGTTAAAAGTAACTAAACTTAATTCTAATAACATTTTATTTAACCAATATATCAAAAGCTTATCATTTCAACATTAATTAATATTTTAAAAATTGTTAATAAGCCCGGCTGGCATGGCTCAGTGGTTGAGCGTCGTCGACCTATAGACCAGGAAGTCACGGTCTGATTCCCGGTCAGGGCACATGCCCAGGTTACGGGCTCCATCCCCAGTGTGGGGCATGCAGGAGGCAGCTGGTCAATGCTTCTCTCTCATCATTGATGTTTCTCTCTCTCTCTCCCTCTCCCTTCCTCTTTGAAATAAATAAAAATATAGTTTAAAAATAATAAAATAAAAATTGTTAGTAAGATATTTTATATTGTTTATATTTTATACTCACAGCACCTATCAATTTGGATGCTAAATTTTCATTGGAAATACTTGATCTATATTTGGACTTCATAAAGTTTACAGCTGAGTTGATTCACATACTAACTCTCTATCTCTCTCCCTTCCTCTCTGTAAAAAATCAATAAAATATATTTAAAAAAAAAAAAAAATAATAAAATAAAAATTGTTAGTAAGATATTTTATATTGTTTATATTTTATACTCACAGCACCTATCAATTTGGATGCTAAATTTTCATTGGAAATACTTGATCTATATTTGGACTTCATAAAGTTTACAGCTGAGTTGATTCACATACTCAAATTGTTTCAAATATACTTACGGGTAAAAGTTTCCAATAACTATCAGGTTTTTAAATTAAGTTAATTAATATTACATAAAATTTAAAATTTAGTTTCTCAGTTGCACTAACCATAAATTCCAAGTCCTCAACAGCCATTATATAGCTAGTAGCTACCATACTATACAGCACAGCCCTGTAGTGAGTAATACAGACACCAGAAAGAAAATTAAAGGTAATATTACACGTACTTAGAATAATGATGCACTATTATGAAGGAAACTGCCATAGTCATGTGATAGAAGCAGATCAAAGAAAACAAATGAGATAACTGGTTTAATAACAGGGAGTGGTGAGGACTGCAGGAATTGGAACGCATGTGTAGAGGCACTCATTAATAATTTAGATGGGGTAGGATATAGCCTTCTACAGACAAAAGGCCTCACTCAGGATGTGACATTGTCTTGGATCTGGATGAATGGGCCAGGCATGCAAAGAACTGGCTAAGCTTCCAGGCATTTCTGAAGCCAGTGCAGCCGAAGAGTAGTTAGTGGGGGTGGGGATGGGGATGGTGAAAAAGAGAGCAGGGACCAGATCATGGCCCATGACAAAAGAATTTTCATTTTGTTCCAAGGACAATGAGGTACCTTATGGCCAATGACAGAGTAGCTGGTTTCTAGAACTAAAGTAGTTCATTTTTCTTAAGGTGGTGGCAGCAAATCTGTTCCTTGTAAACATAAGAGCCTAATTAAAACAGAAATGAGAGTACCCATAATTACTAAGCACAAACTCTGGCCCCAATCATTCTAAGGCCCTTTACATATATTATGATTTAATTCTCGTAACGTCTTATGAAGTTGGATATGACAACTTCACTTTCTCATTTTAGGAATCACACTCAGAAAGGTGAAACAACCTGTCCAAGATTTCACAGCTAATAAATAGCAGTTGAAGATTTGAACACAGATCTGTCTGATTACAAATTCAGAGCTTTCTAAACACATATTAATACTTAAAAGGCACGTCAGAGGTCAGTCCTGCTGGAAAGTACATTTCAGTACACAGGCAGTAAATATTCTTGATTCAATTTGTTTGTCTCTAGTGTTTTTGTTTCAGCTTCTCAAACAATGATAATGTGGGGGAAATGGAGGCAGCACAATATACATTCGCTATATCTCACTAGACGATAGGCTGAAGAACAAAAACTATATTCCTTCTTTCTGTTTCAGGACGTTGTAATAAACATGATGGTTACTCAGTAACCCATGAAAATGTTTGCCTAAAATTTGGCCCTGGAAGCCTCCCTCCCACTAAGAGTGATCTGATTAAACAGACACATGACATTCTTCTAATCCATAAAAGTTATACTTTGCTCCCTACCTGTCTAGAAAAGAGAAGGCACAAGGTTTGAACCAAAGGGGCTTTCCTAAACATTTGAATATTTCTTAATTTAAAAAAATTAAAAACCCTGAAGTACAGAAATGTTTATGGTGAGGGAATTTGAGCACATTATTATACAAAGACCTCTGAACATAATCAAGGCCCAATGGAT